TAACATTTCCGTCACACGCTTGAGGTATTCGGCCAATCACAACACACTGGATAGCCGGCCAATCACAGCACACCTCGCTTTTTCAGACCGATGAGCTTTGTAAAAATCGACGCGTCTCAAAAAGTCGGGGCATAGAGGAGAAACAATAATGTACAGTATGTGGAAATGTATTTATTTATTTTTTACTTTAAACCGCATAAACATTTCATTACACCAAATACACAAAATAATGTTCTTTTTAGCAGCATCATATGACCCCTTTAACAGTCATAAAAGTAAACTTAATTTTCATTAATATAATATCTGATTTTGAGGTGAAATGAGACCTGGTTACACTCTCAGAAAAAAAGTTACAAAAGCTGTCACTGGGGCGGTACTTTTTCAAAAGGCACACCTTTGTACCTTAACAGTCCATTTTTTTAAACTGAATTTCAATATCGTGATAATACTGTATACCGTGATAAAAGCATTAGCAATTAATCGCAACATGATAATTTGATACCGGCATATCCCTACTTCCAACAGAATAGTCATAAAATCAAAATATCTGATTTTGGAGTTAAATGTGGCCTGGAAATGATATTGCATCCACTGTATGAACCAAGGCAGACGGTGACAGACAGTGGGATTTCCCTGTAAATCGTTGGTGGTCTGGCTCAACTTCTATTTACTGTGTGGTGAAAGGGCAGTAAATGCCTCCCTCTCAGACTCATTACAAGCGATTTCCCTGTAAATCGTTGGTGGTCTGGCTCAACTTCTATTTACTGTGTGGTGAAAGGTTATGATATATATGATATATATCACTGATATATATGAGTCACACCTGACCCGACCGCTGCATGCTCTACGTGAGTCTGAGCAGGGACACACTCCTGAACGCATGGCTTGATCAACACAAACACACAGACCCCTTTCATCCATGAGTCAAGGATGAGCACTAAGCTTCCCGTGTTCCCCTTTCACCCTCATCTGCCATGCTGTCTCATCAGAAACATCTGTGTTATCGCACAGTCGATCCTCTGTTTACCACCGGCTCAACACACCACTCTGGTTCCCCAGCGCACGCTGCTGACCAACCAGGATGAGCTAAGTATAAACCGAATGCCTCGCAGGCCACTTCCAGGAAAACAAAAAAAAGAAGACAAAGAAGGTCCAGAAGACTTCCTTGGGTTGAGCAAACATGGATCATGTGACGAGGGCCTGCTTTGACTCTACTCGGCTACATCTTCTCATAAGTATGGATGTGCATGCACGTCTCCGTCCCATCCTGAGGGGGAAACGTGTGAATTCGGCTGTGCTAGAGACGACTGACCTTTGTCTCGATCCACTGACACAAACAGTGTTGCTGTGGCAGCGGGCAAGCTGAACATTCTGGCCAACGGTGGAACATTACTTTGGCTGTCATCAGGGAATATATAGAGATCAAAAGATCAGATGATAGTATAACAGAGGCTCATTTATGAAACGCTAAAGCATCACGACTGCAAAGTGATCAATGTGTGGCTCTGGTAGACAAATAAGCTATTGGGTGAATCTTACGAAAACAGGTCATATTTAATCTTAAACTAATAAAATTAAATAAAATAATAAATTAAAATAAAATATTTTAAAAAGGACAAAAATTAGGTCTGGACATGTTGCAAATTTTTTTTAGTATTTCTTATATTTTACTTTTATTAATTCTTATTACATATTCACTATAATATTGTATTAATACAGAAAAAATACAGATTTTTTGTTGTTTTTTAAAAAAGAAGCTTCTTACGTTTTTATGTAATTTATTCCTGTGACAGCATATCCGATTATTGTTAAATTAAATATTATAAATGTCCAAAAGAATAGCATTTATTTGATAAATAAATCTTTGGTAACATCATACATTTACTGGCACTTCTGATAAAGTGTCCATGCTGAATAAAAATATTAAATTCATTAAAATAAACAAACTTACTGAACACAAACTTAAAATTTACATTTACATTTTATTTTTTCTTTAAAGGAAAATGATGAGATATAATAAAGACACTCAGGGGTATATGCAAATTATTTAAAAATATTTAAAACATACACACACACTAATATACAGTGGGTACGGAAATATATATATATATATATATATACACACACATACATACACATACACACATTATAAAAGAAAAGTAGCCTAATTGTAGCCAGTTGACATTATATTTAAAAGCCATAATTTATGATTAAGCTGCTAATTACCAAACTACATTTGTTTATTCAGAACAAATACAGAACATTATCAACTTTTAATTAAAACAAGTTTAAAACAAGATCGCCACTAAAAATGTACATGTTCGCTCTGTTCATCCCTTCTTTTGATTTGATTGAAGAAATATGTCCCGGTCAGACCGGACATGTTCTTGACAAGTTTTGAGAGATTCATCGTATTAGATCTTTGTCTGTGGGCAAAGTCTCTTCACACGTCCTCCAGCTAGCACTCATCATGTCTAGTACACAGCCAAACGCATCCAAACTGTCAAACAAACACTGTTAAGCTGAGCCCACATTTGCCCATCTGTTACACTAAAAGAACCTGGCCAACATTAAGATGCCCTGGAGAATCTCTCAAATTCACGAGTTAGCACTAGCGCATGAGAAAGCTGTGGTCATCAAATCACTGCATTGAGATCTGGCCAAGGAAGTCAGCCTCATCTGTGGGAAACCAAGTTTTATGAGATAATGGAGCTTGTGGTGCTGATGATACAGTTTCAAAATCTAATGAATGAGAAAAACACAACGGCCACAGAATTCATTGAGGAAATAAAATCGCCTTAAACCAGGGTTATGTGCAGTGCGAAAAGCCATTGTGCGAGTTATTTTAGTATCATTAATACTACCACATAATAATATACTATATTATACATAATAACAACTATAGTTTTGCCAACATTTTAAATAAATGTTTATATTTTGTGTTTTAATGTTTTTAATGTTTTATCAATTTTGTTTTAAGTTTTGGTCATTTTTAATATATATATTATTAAGTTTCAGTTTTTAGGTTTAGACTACTTTAGCATTTCATCTAAACGGAAATGAGAAATAACTGAAATTTTATATATACACACACACACACACATATATACATATTATAAATAATATGTACAGGCCTATATAATTTTATTCCTTTCTAATGTTCTTGAGCATTAAAAAAAGCATACCTTTGCCATTTTCCATGCTCTTTTCCTTTTAGAATTAAACGTGAAGGCGAAATAATTCATTTGATTTATTTTGCTGTTAAGACTTTAGGACGTCAATGCAAGCACCCTCTTCATATATAAAATGAAAGAGAACATCTGAAACGCAAACCAAATGTTCTGCATGAGCCAAGATCTCCATGCATTTTCCTTCCTCATGACACAGAACTATTTTACATGAAGTAAACTGCTGCTACTTCACGATCTCAAAATATCATGACTCACCGCCCTAAACTCACACTCCCAATTCTATTTCCTGGCTTTCTTTCTGACACTTTCCACACGTAGACACAATCCGGACCACATTCGCTGCTGCTACAAATAGAATTACATATACTACTATGGTGAAAGCGCGGCTCATGAATATTAATTAGGCTCTTCTGACACTGCTTTAACTTCCCTGCACATTTTGGTCACGTAGCCTAATATAAATTCATTACGCGAGTCTTTTCCATTAGGTAATTGGCCTGCTACTAACGTTCACCGCCCAGTGTCTGCCTTTCAGCCAATCAGTAAGGCTTACTGGCTCACTACTAATTAATATTCATGCCTCAAGCCTTTTCCATAGTAGAATTAATGAACTGGCGTCCTGAACTAGGGTCAACAGCTGAGAGGACTAGAGGCGCTTAACTAGCTTTGGTCACAGCGCGAACGTAGCTTGCATTAATATCGGTTGTTTACAGTGAATGGCAGTTTAAGTACACCGCACAAAATCAGTGGTCTTAATATTTAGACAGCGAGATTTAGCGGTCTGCTCCTCGCATTTCAGAAAGCATACCAGGAATTTCAAGAAGATGTATTCGTCTCCTGTAACTTTAGCGCATCTTTAGGAATTCCCACTATTTGTAACCAAAAATGTTATATATATATATATATAATGACGAATTAACTGATATGGATTTTAAATAGCAGGCTGACAAATAATGTTTTAGCAAATCCACACATACTGTATGATGATGAACTATTTGTTCATGGTCTGGCTCTAGATGTTAAGGGTTACTTTTTTCGCCTTCAAGTTATTTTTAAATGCATTTCATACGGCTTTTCGTCTACTACGCCAATTAAATATTAGTTAACAACAAGTTAAATCTAAGTGTCAGAGACCACTTTCTAGACCAGTTTGTTTGCAGCCTCGCAGATCACACAAAGACCTCATTCGCTGCCACACGTTACATGTCAAACAAATATGAACAAAAACAAAACTTTTTTTTTTCTTTGAGCCGCTTCTTATAAACACACCGGAGAAACACTGGTATGTGTTACATATTAATTACACGAATAAAAATGGGGTTTCAAGCAGATCCACAATCTCCATTACCGAGTTGCTCTAGTTCTCGCCTTGTTGACATCGGCTTAGGCCAGCCTGCTGAAAACGTAAAGTCACACTATTGGTTTAGGTTCAAGTCAACCACGTTTTAAGACCCGCCTCAACACACAACCTCAACGGCCATTGGACAGAACGCTTGTCAATAAACATGACGCGCTAGTATTACAGCAAACCCCGCCCTCCTTAAGGGACAGAAATGTTGACTGGAACTCAAAAAGAGCATTTTACATGAAGTAAAAGAATTAAAACGATCAAAAAACACCAATACAGACAAGTCGAAGGCTTATCTAACAGAGTTTATAGATGTCAGTGCAATACAGCGAGGTGCTCCGGCTGTACATACCGTTTAACCCAGGCTCCCCGTTGTTGTCTGCTGGAGCAGCAGCGTCGGACATCGTGGCTCTGTGTAGGGCGGCTTGCATAAGACTGTCTGTTAGCACCGCACGCGCACACTCTGTGCACGCACGCACGCACGCACACACACACACACACACATTTGGACCTGAGCGCTGATCACGGATCTGACGCTTTGTGGAGGGGGTGCTTTTAAGTTGGTTAATAACTGTTCTCAGTGGCTGCCCTCAGAACTGTTATGGGAGCACAGGTTTCCTGCAGCGCTAAAAATGACGCAAATGGGTTCATATCTGACAACAAAGACACTAACATTACGTAATGGACTCAGGCTGCTTATTTATAAAAAACGCACGTGTATTATGAACGTGTATTATAGTTTATTTATATGTCAATAAACTAAAATGCATTATGCCAAGCCCATTTAACATTTATTTCATAAAACAAACTAGCATCTATTGTTGTTGCTTTTTAATTACCTGCAAGTCATCCAATAATGACCACTATCTTTTTCAATTTCATTAGTAACTTTTCATTTGAAGTATGTTTTCCTTTGGTCACTAAGTTTGCATTTTCTAGCTCTGAAAACAGTTGTTTAAATGAACAGCCAAAACCAATATTTTCTGTTTTTAGCTGAAAAAAGTATTGTGCAAACGCCCCCTGAGACTATTCAAATAATGAATAACTAAGCAAAATAAATACATTTAAAATAGTAATTTTTAGTAAAACTTCAGTTGGTACCAATGACTAATGGAAATGATAAAACAGCTTGCCATACATCCCTGGCATGTTGAGGTCTCATTTTGTGGGCATATTTCAGCCCTCACCATGCTGTTTTTTTTAGTTTAATCCGGTATTAAAAAGATCCGATCAATGTTGTTAATCTATTATGATCTTATAAATCTGAGAGTGGACATTTAGCTCCAAAATCCTTGAAGCAATGTTTAAAATCATCATATATGCAAATGGTCAACTCCAGATCATCCCTCATGGTCCTCAAAAGCCTTTAATATCCTATATATTAGCTTGACGTTACACTCAAAAAGCTTTTCAGTTTTGCACCAGGCATGCTTTGCAAATTCAAAGAAGAGGACACGACTCTTGTTTAATTGTTTGTTCCGTTTATAAATACCATTTTGATATCATAATCTCTATAATCTTTCTCAACTTGTAACTCTTGAGATAGAGAGAGTGAAGACAGAAATCGGGCATGGATCACAAAGGAAAATAAACCTTGTAAGGCTGAATGACTCGTACATGAGCGAGCAGTCCAACTGGAGTGTATGTGCTTGAACAAGTGTAGATTTTAAATACTACAGCAAACACGGCAATGCCATCTGTGCCACAAAAAATTTTTTTTAAAAAAAGAACATGAAAAGCTCTTTGGGCCGATGTGATGGTGAGTGTGTGGATATCTGAAAAGAAACAGCCGAAACCTTTTGTAGCTGTAATGGAGTGTAACGGGACAGTATGAAATGTAATAAGCAGTGAGCTAAAAAAAAGACATCTAAAAAAAAAGAAACACCCATTCTTGAAACAGAATTAAAACAAACTAAACAACCTGGTAGTTTCTCTGAGAAGGTTAAAAACGGTTACAATGGCACGAAAAACATATGGAGGATTAAAGGACACAGGGACATCCACATGAGTTCAAATTAGTTTTTATACAGACAACTTGAAAAAACCAAAGCCAAAAAAAGCACAAAAAAAAAAGCGCATGGTTGAAATCTGTCAGATTGCCGCCCATTTCGTCCCTGGGCTCAGACTTGTGGGTAAAGGGAAAGGGATGGAGGGTACACACAGATTGGCACAACATCACCAGAGCAAGGCACGTGTCATGGTGCCACAGAGGCCGAGGCCAGGTTGCGCTCTTCTCCAGACCAGTTTGAACCAGTTTACTCAGTATTGGCAGACGCTAGTTGGCTCGACTAGTTCATTCTGTCCTGGAGTAGGCCAATGTTGGTTATGTGATGATGGTGGCTGTCACAGAAATGATTTTTGCTAGTTCTTTATTTCATTTTCACAGAGAGAGAGAGGTTCGGAGGTTTTCTTTCTCCATGACAGTATTAGTTCACTTTTTCCTGGAAGATGTAGAGGTTGTTGGTGGTTGCCACGGCGATGATATTTTCCTGCGGGTGCCAGGCGGTGTGTAGGATCTTCTTGTTGAAGTCCAGGCTGTCCACACTGATCTCATCCTTCTTTCGCTTGCCGCCCGCGCAAACCCTGCGCGGCTTTAGGACCTGCCGGGCCTTGCAGCTCTCGCGCGAAGCCTCCAGGGTGACGTCCCGCCGCTGGCTGCGGTCCAACATTCGGAAGAAGTTGTTGTAGGATCCAGTCATCACCACGCTAGGACAAAAGAATTGAACCGGAAACACAATACCATTAATAAACCTCATTGTAAACATGATTGGAATTTTAATAGTAAAAGACTGTAAAATGCTATGTTAAAATGTTCAAAAGACCAGCATTTTATTATTTTGTCTTGAATGTCACTTTTGATCAATTTAATGTATACTTGCATATCCCTATCTATAAGAAGACATTTTAGGTAATTTTACAGTAAAATACTGTTAAATGTACAGTTTTTAGAAGTGAAAAAGTACAAATTACCATATATCTTACCGTGACAAAATGTAAATTGACATTATCTGAATCCCAGCTAACATCTGATGCTTTCACACTGAAATAAGTATCATCTTTCATTTTTCCTTTTTTTCCAATTGTGTATATTAGTGTTTTGATACACCTTGTGTTAATGTTTATTGCATTATTTTAGTGTCATGTTTGTCACCATGATGGTGTTTTGTGTTTGTTTACATGACACTGAGCGCACCTTCTAAATATTAGCATTTACCTCAGCTTGTGGAAAAGTTAAATCTGTCAAACTGTATTTTTATGTTAAGTTCTAGCATCCACAGCTGCCATTTTTTTAGGGATGCATCGATCCGATACTCAGTATCAGTATCGGCTCCGATACTGGCATTTCCTGCCGGATCGGGTATCAGTCAGACAAGTCCGATCCAAATCCGATATTGTGCATACTATTCTGTGACGATCAGGTTTAGATCGGATCAATTTTGGAAAAATATGGTATCGTTGCAGCCATAGTTTTTTTTGTTTTTAAGTAAAAATTTACAAACTTTTTTGTTATAGTGCAACCTAGGGGTGTGAACCTACACTGTCTCACGGTTCGGTTCGATTACAATTATCATGTAATCGATTTGGTTCAATTCGATATCACGATGCACTGCATCCTCAATTTTCAATTGTACTTCACATGTATAGCCTACAATGTTGTCAATAAATACAAGCAGTCAGATATATGAACTGAACCTTTAATTTTACCTGCTCAAAAAAAACATGCTTCTTGAATGTATAATTTTTGTCTGAGCTGGGTCCACCTTGGCACTCACAGGCGTTAACAGCTCAGGGTGAAAACGGCTGACATGGTTTCTCAAGTTAGTGGTATTACCATAGATATATATATACGTAGATTCCTCATTAGCGACTGTTTCTATGGGCGGCGATATGTAAGCCATCTGCCATTTTTGGAACGGTCTGCAAACCCTCGAGCACAAGTTGACTGTGTGTCTACAACAGCAAGTTATATGCATGTATATCTTTGAATATTCATTGATTATTATGGTGAATGACGGCAAGTTGACCGTTCCAAAATGGCAGACGTGTCAACGTATCTGGAGCGGTCGAATAGGGCATTTATACATATCTATGGGTATTACACCCTGCATATTGTATTTGTGCATGACATGATTTACACAGCGTGAGTCTTCTCCAGGTCGTGTTAACCAGGTTGTGCTTAAAAGCCGAAATGTGCCCAGATGTCGGCTTTTAAAGTAGTTGGAGCATTTTTAATTACTCGCACTTGTGTCTCGCCTCCCTCCGTCATTGTATGCTACCGCGACAAAGCACGCATGCGGCAAATGACGTCAGAAAAGCGTCAGTACGTTATAATCGGTTATGGTCTATTACTGAGCCGATACTGAATTGTCCTCATCTGCATTGTGATGCATCGTATAAACTATTAATTTCGACACCCCTAGTGCTGCCTCAGCTAGTTCTAGGCTAGTAATGGGAAAACTGCAGATTTCTAGGAATGGAACAGGACGGTTGGCTAGTAGTCCAATTATAGGCCTGATTGAAGTTGGTGACTAATTTAGTTGAGGAAGAATGTGTTCGATAGCACTAACATGTCTTCATGACATGCTAACCCAATCTTCCACTGCCCTTGACCAGCATTCAGTCTGTCTGAGAGTGATTAGAGGTTCCCTCCAGATAAGAGCCAGTCTGGGCCCCAAAGGAGTCACGCAGGCACAGCGGCTGGCCTAAATGTTGACTGCCACCTTACTGACTGACTGATGGTCAGCTTTTAAATCTCAGGAAGGTATGTCTTAAATAGAAAATTATCCTTTATTTACAGAGGTACCTACAATAACTCAAACTTCATCTTGAATTTGTCTCATAACTACACATGGCGGTTTAATGCTTGCGTCTACATTTTACCCTGCTGTATTCTCAAAACATGCAAACAAAAGAATGAAGATAACTTGAAAGAACCAGAAATATTTCTGTCCTCTCCTAAACTCTGTTATTCATAATTTATTTATGATCCTTCAGAAATCATTCTAATATGCTGATTTGCTGCTCAAGAAACATTTCTTACTATTAATGTTGAAAACAGCTGTGCTGCTTAATATGTTTGTGATACGTACTCAGATTCTTGGATAAATATAAAGTTCAACTGAAAAATATGAAAATCATTACGGAGCCCAACATTTTTAACAGTAACAGAGCAATACCTGTATGTGAATCTTGACTCCTGATTTGGGGGGGGGGGGGGGTTTTTGGGGGAAACTAGGTGTAAAAAATGGAAAAACA